CCCAGCTCAGACACACGCAGCCCCGCTCTTACGAGGAGGCACCTACACCCAATCCAACGCAAACAAGTCCCCACACCCACACTGACCCTCACACATAGGGACACAGCACTGTCCCTGCCCTGACCATGGCCCCTTTTCCAGTAGTGCCCTTCCCTACACCAGGGTCATCCTAGGACGTGCTCTGCCCTCTGTGCCAGGTCACCAGGGGAGGCCACTGCAGAGCCACTGCCCTGCAGGGGGAAGAAGTCTTTACGCTGCCCTTGCCAGCCTCAGTGCCAGGGTGTGGAGAGAGGGAGTGGACCTCAAGGCTGGCCAGGCCACCATCCATGGCCAGGGGTGTCTGGCAGGTCCCGGGGACCCAAGCTGAAGGAGTTGGGGGAGCTGAGGCTGGTGCCCAGAGGGGACGGCCAAGGAGAGCTGACCTCAGGGTGCTGTGGCCCAGCCCAGCCGGGGCCCTTCCTCCTGGGCCTCCCGCCATGCCCCTGCCCTGCCACAGACAGAGCCGCCCCCAGAGTCCCCACGGGGGAGGACACAGCACTGACCACCCCCTCCCTGTCCAGCGCTGCAACCAGACGAGAGCTGTGCCGAGGCCCAGGACGGGGAGCTGGACGGGCTGTGGACGACCATCACCGTCTTCATCACGCTCTTCCTGCTCAGCGTGTGCTACAGCGCCACCGTCACGGTCTTCAAGGTGGGCCACGCTGTCCCCACGCTGGCCCTATGCTGTCTCCCGCTCTGTCCCCAACATTGCTCCCACTCTGTCCCCACGCAGTCTCCACACAATCTGCACACTGCACTTCATAGAGTTCCCCCCAATGTCCCCATTTGTCTCCCTTTGTCCCCACACTGTCCTCACTCTCCCCCCACCCTGTCCCGAAACTATCCCCACACTGTCCCTACTCTCTCCCCGCACCATCTCCACATTGTTCTCACTCCCTCCCCATTCTGTCCCCATGCTGTCCCGACACTGTCCCCTTGCTGTCCCCACATTGTCCCTGTGCTGACCCCACATTGTTCCTATGGTAACCCCCATGATGTCTCCACAATGTCCCTACACTTTCCCCATACTGTCCCCAAACTATTCCCACTCTCTCCCCACATTGTCCCCACACTGTAATCACACTATCCCCACTCTCCCCACACTGTCCCCACTTTCTCCCCACACTGTCCCCATGCTGTTGCCACACTGTCCCTACTCTGTCCCCATGCTGTCTCCAAAATTTCTCCCTTCCTGGCTCTCCCCAGGGCTTTCTCTCTGTGTCCAGTTCTGCTACAGGCAGCCGCTCGGCTCTCGGCGGTGGGCTGATGGGTGGTCTGGTCTCGGGGGTCAGTTGCCCTGCTCACCCTGCACTGTCCCCACAGGTGAAGTGGATCTTCTCCTCGGTCATGGAGCTGAAGCAGACCATCGTCCCCGACTACAGGAACATGATCGGGCAGGGGGCTTAGACCACAACCCAGTGAGAGCATCCAGGAACCCCCACCCCATCCAGGACCCCATCCAGCCTGCGGCTCAGCCTGCTGCTCAGGGCACCCTGACCTCTGACATCCACCTTCTAACCCCACAGCTCTCCGGTCTCGCAGCCACCCCAAACTGGCACCCCACGCTCTGACCCTGTTGCCCTCTGACCCTTCTCCCCTTGGAGAACCTTGAGGGTGGTAGGTTCTACCCCAAACCTCAGCTGCCTGGACGCCTGCTGGACCCTCCACGGCAGCTGCCATGATGCCGGCCAGAGGCCACCAGGACTGTGTGTCCCCTCACCAGGACAGCCCCGCCCTGGGGTCAGCTGGGTGCCATCACCAGGGAGGAGGCCAGGCTGGCATTCCCCAGTGTCCACCGGTGGCACCAGCCTTGAGCTGACCCCGTCCACACCGGCCTCCTGAATGCAGGGTTTCCAAGAGCAGGATCATCGTTTCAATCACCAAGTGGGAACATCTGCCACCAGGGCTGGGAAGCCACCAGGGAAGCTTCTGGAAGTGCTGCTGACAGTCACTCGATCACCCTCGTCCAGCCCTCCGCTGGCCAGGCTCCATCCTGGGCCCCTCTGTGAAGCCCTGGCCGGAGGAACGGGCTTGTTTTCACTTCAAGCAGAGAACGTCTTCCTCTGGCTCCCGGGAAGGAGCCTCCACGCTGGGGTCTCCGTGTGCCGGCGCCTCCTCCTGGCCCACCCTGCCCAACCCGCCGGGTTCCCAGAGGTGGGTTCAACCCACGGGGACAGATGACCTCAGACCCTGTCTACACTGAGGGAGACGAGGGCCGGCCCAGGACACTCGGACAAGGGCCTGGGCCACATGGACACTGCAGAGGCCGGGGACACAAGGGCAGGGCCCGTCTGAGAAGGGGATGGTCCCGGGCAGCGGCTCGGCCTCGGTGGGCCATGGAAGGAGGTGGCCGAGGAGCCGCGCAGGGAGGGCGTGGAGGAGGTGGCATGTCAGGCAGTGGCGGCAGCGTCCTGATGGCCGGAGTCTGGCCCTGAGTCCCCCACGGCAGGAGCGAGTGGCTCACTTGGGCCAGGGGTTCAGAGACCAGAAGACTGAGGAGAGAACCGGGGCCTTGGCGACCCGGGGCAGGCTGGCCACGGACGCTGGACACAGGCCGCCACGTCCCGTTCCTCCCACCGCAGTTCCGGGCAGGTGCCACGTCAGGACCTCCACTCAGGAAGGAAGACACCAGCTGGAGAGAAGCCATAGCCTGCTGTGACTATGGGGGACAAGTCCCAGAGATCACCCAAAGGAAACGCCACAGTTTCAGCTTTGGTAGCTTTGTTTCTACTTTTTCATTTTTTAGAGCTAATCGCAGGGACTGTGTGAGAAGGGGATGGTCCCGGGCGGCAGCTCGGCCTCGGTGGGTCGTGGAAGGAGGTGGCCGAGGAGCCGCGCAGGGAGGGCGTGGAGGAGGTGGCGTGTCAGGCAGTGGCAGCAGCGTCCTGGAGGCCGAGATCTGGCCCTGAGTCCCCCACGGCAGGAGCGAGCGGCTCGCTTGGGCCAGGGGTTCAGAGACCAGAAGACTGAGGAGAGAACCGGGGCCTTGGCGACCCGGGGCAGGCTGGCCACGGATGCTGGACACAGGCCGCCACATCCCGTTCCTCCCACTGCAGTTCCTGGCAGGTGCCACGTCAGGACCTCCACTCAGGAAGGAAGACACCAGCTGGGGAGAAGCCATCGCCTGCCATGACTATGGGGGACAAGTCCCAGAGATCACGCAAAGGAAACG